CAAATAGAAACCTATGATGAAATTTTTACCAGTCTTAAAAACATTTGTGGGAGCAGGGGTATGAGAATGTGGATCTTATGAATCCCCTAGAGGTCTGGTGCATGGATTCGTGCACCGGTGGGATCCCTTGGCTTGGACTGTGGGGATCGGGCAGAAACTGGCTCTCTGACATCCTCCGAGGGGTCTGGATTGGGAGAGGGTGCAGGCCAGGCTGAGGGACCCCACCAGTGCACGATATGGGCTGGGGAGGGATCACAGGAGGGCTCCAGGGTGTGTATGGCCCATCTGACTGAGTCCCGATCAGCCAGACCCCAGCAGCAAGCTAATCTACCGGTTGGAGCATCTACCCCCTGGTGGTTAGTGCACATGATAGCGACTGGTTGTACGGTTGAACTGTCAGAGGGACAATTAGCATATTAAGCTTTTATATATATAAATTGGTTAATTATAATTTCTTTAACACACAAAACATTATCATTAGAATCCTGTTTCTACAAAAACTGGGCATATTTGTAGATAAAACAGAATTTGAGCAGAACAAAGGGAGAAAAAACATGAAGTGGAAGAGAAGACAAAGAAGATGTGTAAGAAATAAGTTTCATGAAGGATGACATGAGAATAGACAAAGCTAAGACTTGGGTGCCTGAGCCAGAGCTCTACAAAATAGCCCCTTTGGGAAAAGTTTAGTATGGAACCCTAGAGTCTGTTTACAACTATTTAACAAGTCACAGTCTAGTCCTTGAAGCTTCTTCCAGACCCTAGTACTTTCTGATTACCTTTTAGAGGTAAATACAGAGTATATCAAGTTCAATGTAAAAGATAACCGTTGCTAGGGGAGAAAAGTTACCATAAAATAGAACGGGACTTTTTTGTCACCTATGGTGAAAAGAAATGTTCATCATTACATAATGCCACTTCATTTCTTCAACTTCCTCAACTATCTCAAAGCGAACAGAGAACCAGGAGGAAGTTGCTTTTTTTTTTTTTGAAAAAGTAAAATAAAAACCTCTAACAACCAAAATAAATGTCACAAAGGTCACACATTGCAACTTATAGACTAACTGGCAGGAAAGTCCCTTTAGGCCTTCGTCAGAGCCTATTCGCTCTTAGACGCTGTTCTAGGAATCGTGATCATCTGTTTTTCAGTAAAATAGAGCTTTGGAGCTGCCACCTAAAAAGGGGGTGGGGAGTGGGCACAATTTTGTTAGATACAGAGACATAGGCAGCAGGAGAAGGAGAGAGCTGGCCCAGGGGGGAGAAAGAGACAGAAAAGCCATAAACACAAGATACACATTCTCAAAAAGATTAGGATGCATTACTAGGGGAACATTTGTCATTTGAAGTAAATGGCCTATAGGCAGGCCACAAAGGCCTTAAGGAAAAGAGCACACACCATAAGTAAGGCGGATAAGGACAACCTTAACTAGCAGAGGGATATGCCAAATCTTCACTCAAAATGGTTATAGAAAATGAGAGCACTAATTAGCATGTTTCGGGTCAATGGAATTAAAATCACTCACCAATAGTGCACAGTAGATGAGGCCTTAATCCATCAAGAACTTTGTGATAGAGTCTATTTCGACTACATGCAATGGATAAAGTGAGCCTTGTTTCATTTTGGTTTTTGATGTATGTGATTCTTTCTGCTACAACTCAGAATGCCACCCAGAACTTACTCATTTCATGGCAGGCATTCTCCTCTAAAATGAGTGCACACAGATAATAGTAATTTTTCCCGTGGTCATACAGAACGTATAGACCGAAACCCTACGTAAGTCAGTGTTTTTATCTTTTTTCTCCTTCTTTAAGCTAAATCTGGAGACCGTTGGTTTATATGTGAGACTTCAGGATTGGAAGTAAGGTTAAGCATGAATGACACAAAGACAACTTACAATATCAGAGGATAAAGTGGCAGGAATTGCAATACAGTATTACATTAAAACCCAGGAAAGTAATAACAGTGAACAACACTGATCCCTCAAAACTAATTTGGAAACCCCTCCAAATGTTCCGGTCTAATTCCAAATATCTAATATTGGCTATAGCAATCAATTTACATTTATAACACATCTTTTGTTCTCCTTTTTTATTATTAGTTTCAGGTGTACAGCGCAGTGGTTAGACAATCACAAACTTTACACAGTGTTCCCCCTGATATTTCCAGTACCCACCTGGCACCATACATAGTTATTATAATCTTATTGATTACATTTCCCATGTTGTACTTTACATTCCCATGACTACTTTTTAACTACCAACCTGTACTTTTCACCTTTGTCACCAGTGCCCCAACTCTTCCTCCCTTCTGACAACCATCTGTCTGTTCTCTGTATCTACGAGTCTCTTTCTGTTCTCTGTGTTCGTTTATAGTGTATAACACCTCTTGAGATACCAAGTTAATATTGAAACTGAGCAGGCCTGGGGATTTGATTGAGTCAACATCATTTAAGACTTTGGAATGCTCCAGAGAAGAGAATATCATTGGGGCGGAGTCCTTGAAAGCAGGAATGAACTACAATCACAACAGGTCAATATGGACATCTCATAGTTAGCATTAGGAGACCTTTCACAAAATGGTGCCATGCACCATCAGGGCTAATATCATTTTTCTATGTGACACCCTCAGGTGGATTTGTATTTACAGATTTAGACAATAATCTAAATTGAGAAGAGCAATAATACTTCAATAAAAAATAATTCATAATACAATCTGAGGGCAAAAAAAATACACACATGAGGAAATGAAAAATTTGAAAGCCACACACACACCAAAAAAGTGGTTCTAGCAAATTTGTTCACATTCCAAGGGGGATCTTCTTTAGCACCAACCTGTTATCTTCAAATCTTGGAACCTTGAGGGATAAAAAGTCAACCTGAGCATGTGCAGGAAAATAGCTCTATATTGCCCCCTAGTGCTTGGCTGTCCCACTTCTCTTTAGGCTAAAAACTACAAGGTGAGTAGTTCCTCTACTTCTAGTTACTTCCTGCTGCCAGCCTCCTAGGAGCTAAACATAGCCCAATCCTGTGCCCACAGATTAGGAAACAACCAGGCTATTTTTAGCACCATGCATCTTAGGAATGGCAATGGCCCAGCCTCTGATGGCAACAGAATGTGTGTGGCCTGGCTTAATGAACTCACCTCTCCCAAGGGTGTGAACCTACTCCATAAAGTGGCCAATGACCCCTTGAGAACTCTGGGGCCTAATACAAAGTGATCGCGGAATGCGGGTCACAAGAAATGATGACATGGAAAGGACAATGAGAGGCACAAGTCACAAAGGGAATCAGGAAGATGACAGATGCCAGACAGGCTTGATAAGGCAGAGCAGTAGGAGAAATGATACGGGAAAGGAACAATAAAAAAGAGAAGTCAGAAGACAGGAATGTTGGGCATTGTCATTCTGGAGACGCTTGTCTAGTAAGAAGCAGCATGTTGACCTGGACATTTATTTTACATGAGAAAGAACAAAGGTTGGTCTGATCTGTTTCCTGCCAGGGTACAGCTGGTGCTGGGGCTCCTTTGATCACTTTCTCCCAGTCCTCTGCAGCTCCTGTGATTAGAGATAGATCCCTTGGCTGCCCTTTGATCAGCAGCTCAAGCAGCCTGCAGGTGCCATGTGCCATCACATGAGCAAGTTGTAAGAAGCAACCACATGAACAACGGCTGATAAATGTGATCCCACAGATTGCCGCACATACAACAAACACAAACAATGTGTACACAGGTCCCGGGAATCCTTATTGAATTGACCTGTGTACCCTAGGACTTCCTGTGACTTGTTAAAGATGAACACTTTAGAGAGTTTAAATGCAGACTTGAAACTTGGAAACACCCCACCACATAGAGAAAAAGTTGCTGTGACTCAAACATACAGTCCACACCATTCTGCTTCCCTGGGTAGGCTGTCTGTGTTCCTTTCGCCTGCTTAACGACGTGACAGCCTTCCTGCATTCGGAATGAATGACATACAAAGCATTCAACACATGCACATTTCTTTTCAAATAGCATCAAGAGCCACCACTTGTAAACAGGGTGTTTAATATTCTAATTTTAGACAGCCTACATTAACATTGCGGTTTCATGTGTAGTATAAGATTTCTATTTACAAAGCCTTCTCAAAAATGACTTCATAATGGTAGATCAAGAGAAAAAGAGTTTAGAAATTGAATGATGTAAATCATATGGGGTTCAGAGGCTAAGCAAATTACACACCCCGACGCTGCCCTTGGCCTTATGAAAGGAGCCTTTCTCCAGCTCTGTGCAATCCCAGCCCAAGGGAACCTGCATCTGAGAGATTTCTAAACATTTCAGGTACACTTGAAAGCTGAAAGTAATTCTCATTTCCTATGCAGGATTAGGTCGTTTCCCGCACACACAACATAGCAGCCATTCACCAGCACGTATAAATACACACCGCTGGCAAGGTATACACAAAGGCACATTTTTAAAAATAGAGCACAAGAGAAATGCACTTTTTTTTAATTCACCCTAAAAGTGTCCACTCGGCCTCTTGACCTCTGTTTCCTGTCTACTTACTGATTAATTGATGCCTTTCCACTTAAAAGTGCTTCCATTAATGCAGCGGATACGTTTCCTGAAACAGCCCCTCCCGAATAAAATTTAAAAATCTGAATAAAGTCAAACATGCCAAGACTCATTCATTGTACATTCGTGTTTAGAGGCGCTTCTTGAACTTATAACTGGCAACGAGAGGTCCTGCAATGTGCGTTTGAACTGACGTTCAAGTTCGCTCGCAGAAGGTCCTCTCTCGCTGGGGCGACAGTGGCACTGCGGTTGCCCTATGAGAGCCTGGTGGCAGCTCCCAACGTTGCAAACTCGCACGTCCCCTCCAAAAGCCCATGGCCCGGGACGCGGCGCGCATCTGCCCGGGGACACAGCCTCGGAGCCCGGGGTACATCACACGGCGACGCGCAATGGCCAACGTAACACACACACACAGCGAGAGACGAGGAGGGGGAGCGCGGGGGGCGAGACTCACCGTTCTGCTCCTTGGTGCTGGACAACTGGAATTTACTACTCGGGTTGGACTCAGCCTGCGTCCCGGGCTGGCCGGCCAGGGCGGATGTCAGCAGGAGAAGCCTGAAGAGGAGCATTTGGCTGACTGGGGCGAGAGCTCACTCCCGGCGGGCACTTGGGAAGCAGCGACTCCAGAGCCTCTCTCACCGCCGCCAGGGGAAGGCTGCGCTGGGGTGGACGCTCCGAGCCTGCTCTGGCAGCAGAGAATCGCAGGGTAGTTTCCACATAATCCCATCCAAAAACTTTTTCCTAGAGCCCTCTTCTGTGTCTCCAGTTTTTTTTTTTTTTTTTTTTTTTTGAAAAGGATCAAAGCAAAACCTGGACCTGAACCAGTTTCCCAAGGTTTAAACAAATCCTGAGCTGTGCCGAAGTGGTGGGGGTGGGGGTGAAGGCGAGGGAGGAAAGAGGGGGGTGGGGACGCGGGGGAGCCGGGGGAGCGCCGAGAAGTCCCCAGCGAGTGGCTGGGAGCACCTGTCAGTGTGGGGGACCGGACCGTGGCCAACACTCAAGGGTCGCGCGGAGCCGGCCTCGAAGCCAAGTTGGCGGCGAGCACTTTTCGGATCAATCACAAAGCTGCCAATAGATGCGGCTCTCCGGGCGCCCCGCTCCCCCGCCCCACCCCCACCCCCGAAGGGGGAGGGGGAAGAAACTAGGCGAGGGCGCCGCGGCGGGTCCCCGGGGCCGAGCAGCCGCAGAGGGGGCTCCGGCCGAGGCCGCCCTGGGAGCGGGAGGAGGGAGGCCGCGGGGCGCCCGCTCCTCTGCCCGGCGCGCAGCCTGCGCCCGGTCCCGACCGCCGCCGCACGGATCCCGGCACCTGGCTGGAGTTTTCCGCGATCAAAGTTCACCTTGTTTGGGGTGCGTCCCCCGCTCCTCCAAGCCCGAGGAAAGTCGGCAGCTCGGGGTCACCGCGGGGCTCCGGTCGTTCCTGGTGCGCTGCCCCCGCGCTGCGGGCTCCCTGCAAACCTCGGGGCGCGGAGCGGCGTCTCGGCACGGGGTAGAGAGAGCAGGCCGGGCGGGCCGAGGCTCCAGTTTGTCCCCTCCCCTTCTCTACCTTCCCCCTGCCGGCGGAGACGGGAGGAGGGGGCCGTGGGCCAAGCCCGGGCGGAGTGCGCAGCCGGCGCGGGGAGGCTGAGTCGCTCACCGGCTGGCTGCCCGAGGGGAAGGACGGGGGTCGCCGCCTACCGGAGGGGCACCCCCAGGTCGCGTCGTCTCGCACTGGCTAGGACCGCCAAGTGGCCGTCCAACAGGTGCTGGCACAGTCAGGGGGGTCCTGCTGGGCTCCCCCAGACAGGACCCGCAGGGCCGGGAAAGGAATGCAGGCAGTCTCCTGGCTTCCTTTCCTCAGGGCGCCCTTAACCCCAAAGAAAGAGCCAGATGGGTGGTGAAGGGTGCTACAAAAGCAAGCAGAAGTGAGGAAGAACTTTCTGCAGCGCTCTCTCTCTGCCCCCGCCCCCTGTGGCCAGGATTCGTCATTAAATTCCAAGGGGATCCCCATTCCCAAAGGGCTTGGCCAGAGTTTCTGGGCCAAAGGAAGAACGGTAATTGGAATTCAAAGATTTCCCTCTAGTGTCCAGCTCTCTGAAGTAAGGTGGATAAAGCAAAAGTAAAGACAGACAGCCAAAATAACAACAACATTCATCCATTTAACAGATACTGTATTTATTGAATGCCTGCTGTATCACTCTTCTAGGAGCTGGGACTGTGGTAGTGAAAACAGAAAGTCTCTGTCCTCTAAAGCTTGCATTCTAGTTGGGCTGCATTAATGGACATCAAGCAAATCAGAAATATCACCCAACCTCTGGTTAAGTCAAAGCAAACAATTCTCCCAGGAACGGGTGCCAGAAGGGATCAGAAGGAAGCATATAGCCTTAAGGTATATGCTGATCTAGGAGTGGAGTCTTCAAGGACTCTTTCTTAAGGAGTTGCCCTTCCTGACCTTGCAAGGTCATCTACTAAGTATTGAGGAGAGCTACCCTGAAAAGGAATCCAGGGATGCTGGGGCAAGGACCTACTCTTGCTCCCCCAAACCAGGAGCTTTCTCAGTCTTGCTGAAAATGCCAAACCTGCTTCCTATATGTGGACACCCACTGAGACCAACCCACCTGACCTCTCTGCTGGTAACATCCTAGACCTCTTCTCTTGTTCTCTTCTTAGAACTCTGCTAAGCTCAGCTCCAAATTGAAACCTTTATTCATCTATTGCATTCACTCATTCTGATTTTTTTTTTTTTACCACTTCTATCTGGACAGAGCACAGGATACCAAGGCAAATATATAAGGCCCAGTCTTTGACTTTAAACAACTTCAGTTTAAAGGACACAGCTATTATATCCACTTTTGCAGCTCCTCGACATGAATTGTGAATCCATATTTGCACAATAAATATGTCCCAAAAATATTTTGTAGATTTGTGAGCAAGAGCGGAAATGTTTCCAATTTTAACCGCATAATTTGACTTGTTATATAAAAGACATGCTTCATGAATGCGTTTTAACCTACAGTCGTGTGCAGCATAACAACCGGGATGCATTCTGAGAAATGAGTCACTAGGTGATTTCATCACTGTGTGAACATCATGGAGTGCAATAAGCAAACCTAGACAGTATAGCCTACTGCACACCTAGGCTATACGGTATAACCTATTGGTAGAGCCTACAAGCCTGTATGGCATGTTACTGCACAAAACCGAGATTAAGCCAAACACAAGGAGAAATGATGTAATCAAGAGATGCAGAAAACAGGAGACTTCTGAGGCTGCTGCCCTCATAACACTGCATACTGTTTTACAGTAAACTTTGTTTTTGTAAGTAAAAACAGTCCACTCAAAAAGACTGATAAAAGTATAGTATGCTAAATACATAAACCAGTAACATAGTTATTTATTATCAACATCAATTATTACATACTGAACATAATTGTATATGCTATAGTTTTATACTACAGGCAATGCAGTAGGTCTGCTTACTCCAACATCACTACAAACATGTTGCGATGTTACAATAGCAACCATGTCAATAGGTGATGGAAATATTTTAGCTCCATTATAATCGTATGGAACCACTGGTATATATTCAGTGCGTTGTTGACCCAAATATCTTCATGTAATGCGTGAGTCTATTTATAATATAACTATTTGCTTCCCCGGTTTTCTAATTTTGTAAGTTTAATTTTTTTTTAATCAGGATTTTCTAAATGAGTCTGTTGAATGCCCATATACTTGAGTTTCTTGGCCAGAGAGAGAGAGTCTGCAGATTAAATCCATTTGCTCTCACAAGATTATAAGGATGATCTCTTGTATCTTTTTCTTATGTTTAATGATTTTGTATCATTTCATATTGGCTAGAACAGTGCCTGGCCCAGGGGGGATAATAAATAAACACTCTTGACTGACTGACAGGGTTTTTTATTGGAGTCCCTTACATGCTCCCTGGAATTTCAGCATGAAGGTTGCATTTGAAAAGTTACAGATGATCTAGAATAATACTCTATCTCTGCATTTTACCTCATCCACATTCTACAGATTGATTTGACAATCCCCTTACAAATAAAGCCAGCCATGACCCCCAGACAAAATCACGTCCACATTGCCTGGTTTCCTTTCAATGGACTTGCATTGTTGTTTCTTAAACTGCTCTTGCCCTTGGCATAGTTGATTTCTTTTAACACTCTATCCTCTGCCTGTTTTCCTGCTCTATTTAATTATAAACATTTCTTAGGAAAGTAGGATCCTTGAAGTGAAAATAAATTATATAATCTGGAGTCTGCACAATTACTAAACAATATATTTTTTATGAGTATAGCTTTGCGTTGGCCTAAAGCACTTTCCTTAAAGAAAGGCATCTGTTTTGCCAACCTAGAGAAAATAATTGTGAACATTCTTTGTGGTTTTCATGTTTTTTTAAACCTTAGCAAGGAGTGCCCGCTTGGGCTGAATGCCTGAAGAGTGTTGCTACAAATTTCTGTTGAAGAACATAGTAGAATGTGCTTAGTTCTTAACAATATAAGTTTGGGGAGGCATCACTGCTAAATTTTTTTAAAATGGAATAAAATTTAAAGCAAACTACCCATTTAGCCAGTTATTTAACACCCAGGAGGACAGGAACCACCAAGATATATTTTGCCTCAGAAAATCAGATATTACAAGTTTTCTGGCTCTCTCTTTTTCTGGATTCAATCCCAACACACACACACACACACACACACACACACACACACACACACGTATACCTGCAAAATTATTTTAAGACCTTTCAGTCTTTTTGTGGCAGATAATTAAGCATGAGTGTCTGAAGTTCAGGCAGCTCTGACCTACTAAATATCCACTAGAGTTCCAGAATGGCCAATAAGCAACACTTATGCATACATTTAAATGAGACCAGGGGCTAGAGGTGTCATTTGTAAGCAAATTAAGTGCCCAAGGGTCCCAGCAGGAATAAAGACTGTTCTAGAAAAAAAAATGAAGTAGGTAGTCTCTCTTAGAGTTATCCTTTTCTCTCCCCACTTTTCCAGTTACCCCCATCCTGAGAAACATATGACCTTGCTATCTCTATATCTAGGCCATATGAATACTCTGTTTTTCCTACCTAGAATAATTAACACTTTTTCTTATGTTTAATGCTTGTTGATCAGTCATCACTACCTCCCAGAGTAACAGCTCCTAATCTGAAAAAGGCTTATTGCTGTGGCAAAAGATAGAGGGCTCTGCTAAGGCCCTGCTCTCGAAGGAGCAGATGTGCTTTTTAATTTTGACTTTTGGGGGAGACGAGAGGTGGGAAGTTAGAGGTGTGGGGCCAGGAGAAATGGGTGACAAGGACTGGCCTTCGTATGGCGCTCTGGATTTTCTCACTGAAGCAAAGCTGCTGTTTCTGTTGTGAAATCATGGTGGAGTATGCCATTTGTTTTTCAAAAGTGCTTGTCTGACTCAGAATTCACAGGGACTAAGTAATCAGAAAGAGCCTCAAAGAAAGGGAAGCCCTAGTAACCTTTGAACCATCACCACAACAAAAGATCATTTCACTGGGAGATGGGAGACCAGGGATTTGGTCTGGCTTTACCACTAACAAAGAGTACAACCTTGATCTAGAAATCCTCTCTGCTCCTTTTCTTTACATGAGAAATGTACACTGGCTTCAGTCTCAATCCTCTTACTATTATGGAATCCTTTGATTCTCTGAGCTATTACAGATAGTGATGGCAATAGTTTTTTCAACGTAATGATGTGTCTATGATAATACATGACTAGAACAATGATTTCCAGCCTCAGTACAAAGGTGTGTTGGTGGCTGTCAAAAAATGATGAACAGGTGCTTCTACCTAAACTTGTCCAATCAGGTAGTCTTTTATCTGTTATTATTATGGCTTGGAAAGACAAGTTCTACTAATAGCCAAAAAGAAGGGGAGAAAAACAAGCTCAGACATCGCTGATTAGGCCAACTATCAAGAACTTTATTGAATTCAAGAAAACTAAATAAATTATGTGTGGGTATCCACATTTTCATTTCTTTTAATATTTTGTTTTGATTTTTAGGTAGAGAGGAAAGGAAAGGGAGAGAGAGATAGAAACATCAATGAGAGAGATACATCAATTAGCTACCTCCTGCACGCCCCCTCGCTGGGGATTGAGCCCACAACCCGGGCATGTGCCCTGACCAGGAATTGAACCCAGAACCTCTTGGTCCATGGGACAACTCTCAATCCACTGAGCCACACCAGCCAGGCTCCACATTTTAATTTTTAATATTTGTTTGGTATCATGGTAACAATATCAAAAGAGGCAAAATATGGCCCCAAGGTAAGGAAGAATAGCTGTAAGTGAGTTGCAATGAATAAGGACATGATATTGTTACTAGCCAAGAACAGATGGCCCATCTCCTGCTGTTCTATACAATCACACAGGAGGAATGTGAAACAATTTTAAGAGCAAGGGGCATCCCTAAAATTGTGGGCAGCAATCAGACCCTATGCTTGGTCATATCCTCCGGTCAAGAAGATGTCATTTTTCTCTCCCTTGAACTCATGTATAGGATATGAAAGCTGTTGTCTGCATTGTGACAAATCACAGTAAAGGGGTCAAGACACAGCTACAGATCCGCCTTTCTCAGATAGTGACCCTCTTATTTCAAAGGTCATGGGAGAAGGACCCTTTCACTTTGTGATCATTGTTTCAAATGCAGTCCTTCCCTTGGCACTAGCCTTTGTAAAAGAGGTAGATAGCCTCAGTACACTGTTTAACGAACATTTAAAAAGCGTTGTTGGTTAGCAAAAAGAAAAATATGGCTTAACTAATCTAACGCTAAAAGCATCCTCAACTGTTTTTAAAGTTCCAGATAGTTCATACCCCTTCCTATAATTATTACTATTACTATTTGCTGTCTTTATCATTTTTATAGTAAGAAAGGTGCTTGCTCTCTTTTA